AATGAGATGGACTGACACAGTGGCTGCCATGATGGGCTCAAGCATAGCAAGGACTGTGAGGATGGTACAGGAATGGGCAGTGTTTCATTCTGTTGTACACAGGGTCATTATGAGTTAAAGCTGACTCAATGGCACCTAACACCACAACAATGACCTTAGAAAGAGAAATTGTTGTAAAAGTGTGAAGGTGGAAGCCAGGTTGGTGTGGTCTAGAAATAAATGGCAACTAAGGAGAGGGTGGCAGCAAGTATAGAGATTGTCTTGAAAATTTTTGATAAGAGGAGGTAAGAGGTTAGACACAAGCTAGAGATAGGATAGAGTCAAGGGAGGGTTTTGGTTTTTTAGGGATGGATAAAAAATACCAGCCCATGTATATAGGCTGCAGGAAAGACACCAGTAGTGCCGAGAGGCAGAAAATATAGGAGAGGAGGAATAAAGGAGGGCAGTCAAGGGCACAGGGACAAGATGGAGAGACCCCTCATTAGTGTCTATGCTGGTGGGTATAAGTTGTGGGTGACAGGGCAGGAAGTCAAGGGTCATTGTGAATGGTGGATGGCCTCACTTTTCTCAGTGAAGCAGTGGAGGAGAGGAGCAGGGAAGGAGAAGAGGGTCTGGATAAAATAATGCGGACTTGGACTAGGCACTGACTAGAAAGGAAAAGGCGCCTAGGGGCCAGTAGAAGACTTAAGGTGGAAGGTACTGAGGACACAACTGAGTGAGGCTGACATCCATGACTTTGTGCCAATATCAATCTGTGTGGTAGTATGGTTTTCTCAAGAAGCTCTCAGTTATCTTGGTATAGATTATAGTCTGGTTCAGGAATGAGGCTTTCCTCTGTGAGTACAGTGGAGGGACAAACTTCTATTAGAACTGATAGTGTTAAAGAGAGAGTAGTTCAGAAGATCCACCACAGGGTTTAGGAATGAAAAAAGAAGGCAGGAGAAAGCTGACAGACTGGGAGGAAACAGAAGGGACAAGGAATTAAGGTCATTCACAGGTCAATGACCAGAATGGATGACATAAAACAATGTAACAGTTATAAGGATAGAAGCAGATTAATGCCACTGAAAATTCATAACCTCTGCCAGGCTTACAGGGACCTAAATACTACTCAGAAATCTGACCACAAGATAAGTACTCTCTAATTCCCCATGGTGATTATTTCAAGCCTTTCCTTGAGCTTTAACCCATCCCTATTTTCACACATCCATTCTCAGGAGATGACCTTACCTTGTAATGTAATGAGCAAATGGAACCCATTAGATGGAAACTGTCAAATCTACAAAAAGTCTTGTATTCACCCCTGTTTCAGGGTGTCTCACATTTTACCTTTGGGCAACTTTTGCTCATTCACTGAATCTCATCTTCCCTAGACTTTACCTGGGTCTTGCTCTATCCATCCTCCACCTCATCAGCACTGAAATGTATGCTAATCTTGAGGGGAAAAAAAAAGAAAGCACACTCTTTATTCTCACTTCCCACTTCAGGGACCAATTCTTCTCTCTTACTCTTCAAAACTTAACTTCTACAAAGAGTTGTCTCTTCACTTTTCTCCCTCTGTCACTTTCAACCTACTCACAAAGCTAATGGTTTACAGATGAGTCAATCAACAAGTATAGAACAATGTTGTAAGTGCTATGATAGCCATTGTACCACTCCTAATACTACACTCATGCTCACACTTGTCACAATGAGTTGTAGTTCCTATTTACTTATTTGTATTATCTCAAATGTAAGCTATTTGAGGGCCAAGAAGCTGTCATGGCTACCATGATCTTCTCAAAACCCAGCACACTGGCTAGCATGTAAAAGGCGTTCAGTTTGCTGAATAATGATATGAAAATATTTATTGTCACATGTATAACAAGTATATCTGCTTTATATAACAGTATGCTTCTAATTTTAGGGATTTTATGAGTTTATTTTTAGCAGTATAGCATACAGGCACAGGTTAGGCTATGTACTGAGTAAGGTCTTTTTTTTTTTTTTTTTTTGCAGTCATTGGAAAATAGTCATTGTATAATGAAAAGGGAAAACCACAGGCATAAAGAAATTCCTATAGGGTTGGGGGTGAGGAGCAGAAAGAGGACACAGAAACAAACAATGGTGGTGAGAAAATATCAGAACAGGAAATTATTACAATAGTCTGAGGGTTTTAATGCTCACTTACACCAGGCCTGATGCTAATGATGGGTTTAAAACCATTACTGTAGAACTGATTACCATAAAGCCTTTTCCTATAAGATTTTTAAATGTGTTATCTTAGGGTTCTTTTTTTCTTACCTAAAAATATATTTTCCATTTCATAAAAAATAGTTGTTGAAAACTAAGATCTGGTCCAATTTTCCTAGAAAAAAATCTAGGAGACCACAATTACTTGTTCCACTAGATAATAAAAATGTATTAAAAACCTACTAACTTAAAGGAGCTCTGGTTGTATAGTGGTTAGGTCATTTGGCTGCTAACCAAAAGGTTGATGGTTCGAACCTGCCAGATGCTCTGTAGAAGAACGATGAAGCATTCTGCTTCCGTAAAGATTTACAGCCTTGGAAATGCAATGGGGGTTGCTATGAGTTGGAATTGACTCAATGACATTAGTTGGCTTTTTTTTAGTACCTATGGCTTAATATATTTCACTAATATTGATTTGTACATATTACCATGTAGAATAAATTAGCACCATATTATTAAAAAGTACAGAACTGAAATTACCTGTTGATCTGAATCTGTGTTTAGCACAGATCTATCTGTAATCAGGATTGCCCTGGAGATCTGCCTATAATGTAATGCACAAAACAGTAAATAAATCAGTAATTCAGAATCCATGGATAAATTTCATTTATAATTACATAACCAAAAGATGGCACACATTTAAAGATTTAAGTGAGGATAAAAGCGTCACCTCCTAAAACCAAGTCAGGTTCTGCTTTAATCTTTTTTGGCCCATGAAAGGACATGCGACCCACAGACGAACCCTAACTGAAGCAAAGGAATTGAAATTACACTAGGCTCCCCCAAAATCTGATCCTATAAGAGAACAGTGGTATGATATTGAACATATGTTCAGTTTGGTATACATCTGCATCTTACTAGAAGAACAATCTTACATCATATATAAATGTCAATATAACCACATAGCTAAGTTTTCTTTTCCTTTAGAGTGCCTTACCTGTATTGAATATTTGAGCATGTGTTCTCAGAAAAGTAACTGTCCTCCACAACAAAATGCTTAGATATTATTCTCTGGCCAAACTGATCTATGATTGCTTTACATCTATAAAAAATAAATAAGCACAGCAAAAAGTTTGTGTTAATGATTAAGTAATGGAGAAAATGAACATAATTAGCTACCAAGCTTGAATCTAAAACTAATTTCTTGTGGAGACAAGATTTAAAAATTGTCTGTAATTTTAACACTTTTGAACACAAAACTGACACTAAATTACAAAACACACTGCCACTGAGTCAATTCCAACTCGTAGCGACCCTGTAGGACAGAGTAGAAGTGCCCCATAGGGTTTCCAAAGTTGTAATCTTTATGGGAGCAGAACATCACATCTTTTTCCTGTGGAGCATAGCTAGTCAGTTCAAACCACTGACCTTTTGGTTAACACACGAGTGCTTTAACCAGTGTACCACCAGGGCTCTTTTTGTTGCCATTAGTCCTTTGAAATATAAAATAACCATGAAATACTACTTGAATATTTATTTTGAATACCATTAACAAGTAATGGTAAAGTTAGGACAAGCAGTATACTGTAATTATAAACGCTTCTAATGTTTAGAAACACAGACATCTTTCCTTTGCTTAGAAAACAGGCTTTCTCCCTCTAAGAAAAAGGGGAGAGGAATACTGATTAAACATCTTGTTATATCATTCACAGTCAGTGAAGGGTACTAAAGGCTTTTTATTTTTCTGTTAAATGTTGCTTTCTCTTTTGTTCACGAAAAGCTATCTGGTCACACATTCAAAAAGGTTTTAACCAGGAAAAAAAAAAAAGATAGAGCTTTTAATATTTGCTTCCACTTTACTTCAAAGGACTATAATAGAAAGATTTCTTTCAAGAGCTGCTTCCAAATAAGGAAAACACTTATGCATGGACATTATCAGGTCTCTGTCATCTGATATGTGTTGGGACAATGAATCACATAGAACCCTCCATTGACCTTCTTTCAATGTTTCTAGATAAAAGGATGAAAATTAGAATCCATCTCCTTGCAGTGCCACAAGTTATAAATGTACTTTATAGGGCTCATTATCCAAACTAATGGACTAAGGGCAACATCCTTGAAATGGACTTACCAGCACTGACAAAGCCAGTATACAATATTTCAGGAACACTATGCAAATGACTGCATGTTTGCTATATCTTTTTATTATGGAAATATAAATTTACTTTTATCATAGGTTCTCCTTTTGGGAACAGAATTATGTTGTTAGAAATACACTTACATGCTGCTCCTCATAAAATGCAAGCAAATAATTTTAAACTTATACCATATTTGAAATATAAATTAAAATGTTAAATCACTCAAAACAAAACAAAAACAAAGCCACACAAGCAGTATTTACCAGGCATAAGGGCATTAAAAATAAAAGACCAACAGTCAGAGGGATTTAATTTGTATTTCCTGAAGGTAGCATATAATATTCTTGAATAAATGGCATGCTACTGTTGTCAGAAAATACAATGATGTCTAGTAATATTGCATATATGTAATACATATTTTAACCAATTAACCATCTTTGCTTAGTAACATTATATTACTATTTATACAATTTTTCCCATTTCACCTTCATTTCCTCTCGTGTCCTGTATTTCTACTTTTACCTTCTTACATTCATTAAACTATAGCCCTTGCCCTATAAAATACTTCCTTAATTAAATAGGTGAAAGGTGTCTCTACTTATATATAGTATTTTCCAAAATAATTATTTAATATCTGAAAAGATCAGCTGTTCACTCAGTTTCGGTTGTAAAATGTTCATGTATAATTTGAAACACAAGATTCTTCAGACTATAGAGAAGAGACATATGATGATCTGTCATTAAACACTGATTCCTGTGTGTTCAGTAAGTACTGGTCTTTTTTCTTACTTTTAGCTCAGAGACTATAGAAAGTCAGGAGGGAATAAACTGGGCAGAGAAAAAAAAAGGGGAAGGTATTAAGTGTTTTATTACCTTGGTAGAGATATAGAGATTTGGGCTACACAGTTTATCATTTGCCAAAACTCAGCAAATGCACACCTAACATTTATGTACTTCACTATTTGCAAATTTTACATCCAAAGATAAAAACTGTAAACAAATATTGAACTCTAGTTAATGATATGCATGCTGAATTATTTAGTTCCAATGGTTCTAATGTCATGTTCTAATGGTACTTAAGCGGTAGACACACTAAGATTTTTTTCAACTTTGGTACAGGTTTGAATATTTTCATCATAAAATGTTGTAATAAAACTGGGGAGAAAGTGGTGTTAGTATAAATTTTGCACTCTAGTGTAAAGATTTGCAAAAATCTCCCATTTAAATAAAACATTTAACTAAACCCAGCCTTCTGCTTGTGAATGCTTCCTTGCTCTGCATGTTTCCAAACACTAACAGGGCTGTAAGTAAAGGTGGTTGGTAGACATTGGTTTCAGAATTTATGTATTAAAAAGAACTACTGGGGATCACTCCAAAGAGAAGTATGGGAGGCTGGGGATTAGAGAGCTCAACTATTCAAGGACAAGCTACTAACAAATGTGCCTCTTTATGTTGAAGTTTCTGGGTGAAACAGTGATTCTCAAAGGAGGAGGGGGAAAAGGAAGCAAATCAGAATCACACCTGGGGGACTTTTTAAATTTTCAGTACCCCTGGAGATTCTGATAAACTCCCAAATCCCAGGAAAGAATCACTGCCATAGGATAACTCTGCCACTGTTGTATTTCTGTTGTGCTACACAGAGAAAAATCAAGAGCTATTAGTATGAAAAAAAATATTTTTGTAGAAATTGATGTGATGGTCCCCATATGCCCTGTTTCAGTCTGGTGGGTAATAAGAACACAACTCACCTGATAGTTTCACAGTCAAGTACTAAGGCTTTGGGCCTAAGTAAAGCTGTTCAAATGAAGACATGTTTAAGTAAGTGGTAAGATTTGTTTTCCCCTCAGATACTTAACTTACTATTATACATTAGGTCTAATTGGGAGACCAATGAAGAAAGGGATATTGATTTAGGACCTAGAATTAGACTTTGTCTTATAAAGATTAATATAAAAATGACATGTCATTTAAGTAATGGAAAACAGCAAAATGAAACAGTGCTGCCAGACACATTAACACACTTGCCCATCCCTCCCATCTAAACCTGAGGAAGCCATTAAAGATTAACAGCATTTAGGATTCACTTGAGGGCCTTGCTCAGCCTCATAAATAGTAAATTGAGGAGGAACATGTTAGGAGTACCCAGTTACAAGGACACAATGACCAAGCTGATCATAAGAATCACTGAAGCCAGGCAGAACATTTTTTAGAGCTAAGCTTTTTAAATCAACAAATCACAAGAGTTATTCAGTTTTTATTTCAATGATATGAGAGTATAAATAACAAAATGACAATAAGGAAGAAAATAGTAAGATGAAAACTCAGTATCTAGAATTTGGCCCAGAAAGGAAAAATAGAATTAAAGTAAGAATCCAATGTCTATGATCTTCAGAATTAATATATAAAATACTTGTATGGTAAGGAAAGCAGAAATCACATGTGGAATAAGTAAAAGGAAAATACAATAAGGAAATTAGGAGATTCACAATCACTGAAGGAAATAAAATAATTCTCCCTACTCATTATAATCTTCTATGCTTTCTCACACTCATCAGCTCAAATGCCACCTCCTCCTAAAACTATCCCAAAAACCTTCTTCTCAATCATTTTTCTTGTGTGAAAATCTCCTCTAATGATTCCAAACACCAGTTATAGGTAGACAGCTCCACATCTAGGTTTTCAGCTCTGACATCTTCCAAGCTGTATATCCACGTTTGTAATTGTCTATCGTCTTCGGTGGCTCTCACCGGAGAGGTTGGAAACCCTGGACGCGCTCGGGGCACTGGCCTACCAACCCGGCGGCCCGCGTGGGGCCCCACGCGCTGGCCTCTGGTAAAGGGAGCTCTGGTAGCATAGTGGCTAAGGCACTTGACTGCTAACCAGAAGGCTGGTGGTTCAAACCCACCAGCCACTCCTCGGAAGGAAGGGTGGGCAATCCTACTTCTGTAGTGATACTGCCTTGGAAACCCAAGGAGGGGTCGCTATGAGTCAGGGCTGACTCGACGGCACATAACAACAACAACAACATCATCTATTAGTGCCTTCTGGATAAACTTCAAACCCTTTAGATCTAGCATGCCCCAAACTGAGTTCATCACTGTTCCACATCTGGTCCCTCCTGCAATCCCTGTATCTCAGATAATGGAAAGATCAGCAGTCACAGTTTCCCTACCTCAGGATCTCTCTTCCTAATCTGCTACTAAATTTTGATTCCACATTTTAAATATTTCTAGAAGTTAGCTTCTTCTTTCCATCTGCACTGACACTGCTTAGACAGTGATTATGAGTCACGGGCCACTAACAAGTTGGTAGCTCATTTGTTCAACATAAATGTATGGCATATCTACCCTGTAACAAGCACTGTTATAGGAAGTGAGGATAAAAATATTTTGTCCTTAAGGAGCTCCCAATATAATGAAGATTCACATACAAGAAATTATAAGACTCTGCCAAGCCCAGTGATAAGAGGAAAGAACAGGGCTATATGAAAGTACTAAGGGGAGGTACCTAACTAAGCCTGGGGTAGAGGGAATATTCCCAGGAGGAAATTATATATTAGCTGCTTTTGAAAGATGAATAGAAGCTAAACAATAATAAGGGGAAGAACATTTCAGGTGGAGGTGCAGCATTTGCAAGGATGCAGAGGCAAGTAAGAGAAAAGCAGGTAAACAGAACTTCAAGCAGTTCAGTATTGTTGTTACTATGTGCCACCGAGTCGTCTCTGACTCATAGAGACCTTATGCACAACAGAACCAAACACTGCCCAGTCCTGTGCCAGCCTCACATCCCTACTATACCTGAGCCCATCACTGCAGCCACTGTGTCAATCCGTCTTGTCAAGGGTCTTCCCCTTTTTTGTTGACCCTACACTTTACGAAGTGTTCTGGTTACCTAGTGCCACTCTGACAAGAATATATACCA